CTATTGCAAACAATCTAGTATGTCACGGAAAGACTAAACATTTCAACATCAAGCTCTATTTTTTGAGAGAGATGCAACAAAGTGGAGAAGTAAACTTAATTTACTGCAAGTCTGAAGATCAATTGGCTGACATGTTTACAAAGCCATTATCTATCAGCAAATTTGAATATCTAAGGCAACTGATTGGAGTTTGCAGTTCCTAAAGCAAGGAGGAGTATTAAATGTGCTTTTGTAACTGCTAGATTTATTATTACTATTTTATTTTATTGTTTCGATTTTTTAGTCAATTAGTGGTTGCTATACTTTAGGAGCAAGCTAGTAGTAGTTGCTATACTTTAGGAGCAAATTAGTTTAATTATTCAATTCCCTAAAATCCTGGTTACGTGGGATAGTTTTCAGTTTTCCTTTCTATTATTTATTGTAACGCTTCTATTGATCAATATATATTCCTTTCTTTTAACCAACAGTTTTCTCTACTTCTCTGCCTCTCTATTTGTTATTTTCTGCCATTAAACTAACAGATGCAATTACACCTTTGTTGAAATATCTTGCTCCAATCAGCTTCAAATTGCACATTGAAGTGTTGAAATCTTGTCCTATTTCGCATTTTCCTTTCCATTTTGTTGGGATGTTTTTCGACATGCCGCTGTCTTGAAAGCTTTCACTTTCTGGCCAAATACCAGTGTCAATAAGACCAACAATAACATTTTCACCTAAATTTGATGCATTCCATAGCCCTTTTGAAGGGTCTAATGAAAGAAACTCAAAGGTGTGTGTTGTGTCCATTGTTGCTGTTCTGTCAGGGTAAGCTGTGACAAAACCATGAGCTTTTTTGAGGTTGTTTAACTCTTGTTTTGATAGTACTGCACTGAAACCATGCATGGCATGATTGTTAGTGTATACTAAATTTTTTGATGATTTTGTGGAATCAAGAGTGGATTCATACCAATTATGATGGCTTGTGAAGACTTGAGGCATGAGGGATTTGTCCATGTGGACTATGTAGGTGAAGGAGGTTTCACCTTTTACATGGAGAGAAAGTAAAAGAAAAGGAGTAATAGTTAGCAACATTAATGGAATGGAGAGATTGAAGTGAGGCTCCATTATGCTGCTAAACAAGAATGATTGTTTTGGCTTTGAGATATAAGCAGCTTGTTATTTATATAGGGGATGGATATGCTTTTATTTGGCTCCATTATTTTATTTTATTATTATCCTAGAGGCTGTTCAAGTATTGTGATTTTTTTGGGACAATTGTGTTTGGGAAGTTAAACATTGTTTAATTATTGGCAGCAAACTTGCACATCAGAAATGTTGGAATTGGCTGTAGAGTACATTAAAGATCTTCAAAAACAATTAAAGGTACTACTTATTGCCATGCAAATAATCATCATTAGTTCATGTGATTACTAATATATATTTTCAATTGCTTCATGCAGATTATGAGTGCAAGAAGGGCTAAATGCAGATGCAAAAATCAGAAATGAATCAAGTTGTGTTTCAATTATGCAGACAATAAATCAAATGGTTAAGTTGTAATTTTGTATAGAAAAGTTCTAGGGTATTATTTTAGTTTTTACATTGTGTTATGTTATTTTCCCCTACAGATATGAACAATTTTTAGAGAATTTGGATGAGGTATATTTGTTGCTACTCTATTAATTGTGCATTATAAATTAAGAGGACTCTGAATCCATTATAATGCTTTGTATTCAATCACTTGGTTATTTAGATCATTATATTAAGACTATTATTTTTGTTTGGTGATAATAAATCTTAAATAAACTAAATTAAAAGGGATATGTTATTTTCTATGAAACAGGCAACATATATTATACAGTCAAAACAAAAACTGCTGAAGGATGCATAATAGCTACAACAGTCAAGATTTAACAAAATCAAAGAAAAACAAATAACAGTCTTAGTTATCAAGGGTGCCATGAAAACAAAGTTGATTTTCAATAATTAAAAAGAATCCCCTTAACAGCAACAACATGAATCAGCCTGTTGTACCATAGATCCACTGAGTGTAGAAAACTTGATGACAGCAGCCAATCCTGTTTTCATCTTATGATAGTAACAGCTTTTGTTATCACAATGTCACACTCACACACTTAATTCAAAGGTTGTTTTAGATGAAAGCTACACTTTGTCCATCTAAAAGAAAACTTAATTCAAAGGTTGTTTTAGATGAAAGCTACCACTTTGTCCATCTAAAAGAAAATGCTTCAAATGAGATGCCATCATAACCTTTAGCATAACAATGCCCCAATATCCAAACAGACAAAACCTAAACCCTGGTGACAGCTCTCACTCCAATGACAGTTCTATGCACCTCTCAAATCTGTTTGGACCAATTGCTACTCAGTTCTAGTTCAAGCCAAACACTAAGCATCATTATAAAAGATAGTCACAAATGCAAAACTGGTATTAGTCACAAAATCCATGACAGACTCCTATTCACTTTGCACCACAAATGCAAAACTGGTATTAGTCACAAAATCCATGGCAGACTCCTATTCACTTTGCACCAATGTAAGTTAGCCAAGTTGTTTTTATTACTCACATTCATATGACCAATAACCTTTGTTTAACCATGAAAATTCTACAAATACTAAACTCCATATGTAAGAAGACTGATTCCAATTTTGAAAACATGAAAAATAAATGAAAAAAAAGCATAGCAAGTGACTTAAGGGCAAGGTGCTAACCACTGGGATGGTGATACATCCATTGTATCAAGCCACCCCATTAAATCATCTGGCTGGGCATGAAGGCAAGCCAAGACAAAACTTGAAATACGATTTGATCACAACTTCCTCAATTCTTAATCAATTTCAGTGAAACAAAAGTCTATCTCACTTGATTTTTCACAAGGATGATGATGGTGCTGTCCATTTTCTCAAATAATGCACACACAATAGAACACGAATGGAAGTGCAAGGATGAGCTTTAAAATGCATTTTCAAAACTGAGTGAAACATGAACATGCTTATCCTGATCTAATGTCATGTACACTTCAAAAACATGCTACAGACAAGGTCTGGATAGAGGAAATCATCGACAAGACATTAGATTTGAAAATGGCATATCATGTAGAGACAATCATATCTAGTATTAAAGGTAGTAGTCATATTTTTACTCAATCGAATTTGGTTCTGTAGAGACAATCATAAGCAGAAAAATCAGAAGCCTAGCTACAGTTACTCTATAAATTGGATTATGGCTGATTTTAATGTAAGCATTCAAAACCAAGTTGATTTTCAAAACCAAGGTAAGCATTCAAAACCAAATTAATGTAAGCATTCAAAACCAAATTGGATTATAGCAACAGTAAGGTAAGCATTCAAAACCAAGTTAATGTAAGCATGCTCCTTCCAACACATAATCATAGCATTGCTGCATCCATCGGCAAGTTCTCCGAACAGGTATAACATATTCGTAATCTACCATCCACATGTGTAATGCTACTGCAATTATCACTGTAATTTACATGAAGTAGGTGCGATGATAATGCAGAAGCTAGATGCGGAGTCCAAAGGAAATTACAGGGGAAAAGTACAGCAAAGTCTACGACTTTCTTGCCATGGATTGATTTTCAGATGGTGCATCTATGTCTCTTTGCTTAGGCAGTGTTTCTTGGCCCCTGCAAATATTTGCACACAATTTGTTCGACTCTATATTCAGCCTTCCGTATGCAATAGCACCATACTAAATATTTGGATCATATCTAGCATGTGAATAACCATGAGGATCACAGTCTAGCCCCATAGATGTCTCACTCCTCAACTGTGGTTGTTCTTGCTTAATGTAAATTTTAATTTTCTGACACGTATAATTGCAAATTCATGACTGCCCATTTCCATTTGTATTTAGAGACATCTTGATACTATTGATGTAAGCTACTTTCAATCATAAGCAGAAAAATCAGAAGCCTAGCTACAGTTACTCTTTAACTTGGATTATGGCTGATTTTAATGTAAGCATTCAAAACCAAGTTGATTTTCAAAACCAAGGTAAGCATTCAAAACCAAGTTAATGTAAGCATTCAAAACCAATATTAAAATTCTATAACAATAAATGTATACCTTGCTATCTTGGAGAACACCTTCAAAGGGCTGTTGTCCGTTACGGTCCTTCACGATCCACAAATCAACTACACGAGCTGCGAGCTTCCATACGTTGTTACCTATCTTCAAATCAGCAATCATAATGGGTGCCCTAGACATATTGATCCGAAAAGTACAAACAACACAAAAAAAAGAGTAACCACACCATTAGCAAAAATGCTGAACATAAAAAGACTGATAAATGAAAAATGAAAAACCTGTCTTGAAACATGAAAAATGCTGAATATAAAATAACAGGGTTTTAATAAGCAAAAATATATAACCAACTGTTACATTGGCGAAAAACCATGAATGAACAATGAAAAAATCAGTCGCAATGGAAAAACAAAAGTCGTTGAACGGTGAACGGCAGCATACGGGGAAATGAAGCTGTCGAAGGATGAACGTCTTTGATTTTATGCTTGTCTTGCGTGAAATACCAGAGCTGCGGGGAGAAAGACGAGAAAAAGCAGGAAACTTGGTGTTTGTATAAGAGCTGCAGGGAGAAAGACTAGAGAAAGACTGGGAAATACTTTTTGAAGTTGTGAAAGAGTGAGAAAGAGTGGGAAAGAGTGAGAAGGACAAGAGAAAGAATAGACCAATTGGTGAGGGACAGGTGGATGGATGTGAAGCTTTTGAGCATGTGAAAGAATAGAATATGTTATTTACTGTTATGACCTTGAGTTGGGTATAATGAATTTAGGTGTGAAGGGTAGAATTGGTAAAATGGTGGCAATGAGTAGGTAGTTGACTACTCAAAGTCTTTATAAACAGTAAAGCAACAATATAAAAAAAACATCTGTGTTCACCTTTGTAATCACCAAAACATTAACCAAACTACAGAAACAAGGAACTGAGAACCAAGCATAGAACAAGAACTGAGACAGACACATGGCAGCATCAAGAGCTCCTGGAACTGGAATCAACATCAAGGAACTGACTCCAGAAAGAATTGAAAAATCATTTTCTGCATCCTTGAAGGCTCACAGTTACAAGGCACCTTACTTTCTTGAAAAGAATAGTAGAAGCAACCCAAAAGAAGTTATCATCAGTTTTTCAGCTTCAGGTGGTTTCAAAGATTGGTATTCCAAAACTAATTTTGGTGAAATCAAAATAGATCTTACTCTATTTCCTTCACTTAGAAGTATTGGTAATAATGAACCTGCTTTGGTTAATCAGTACTTTCTTCAAAGATTCCAAGAGATTTTAGCAAAGTCTTCACTTCAAAATGAGGTATATTATATATCTGAAAATTCACACCTCTATGTTACTCTTTATGATCTAGTTATGCAAACTTCACTTTTCAGTGTTATTTCCTTTTATAGCATCCATACACAACTAACCTATCTATTAATAGTAAAAATGAACCAAACTAACTCATAATTAGTTTGTCTAAGAAACTTGACTAGACAATTAATTTGTGGAACTTGTTCATGAATCAAATTCGAAGGAATCAAATTTGTTGAACTTGTCTAACTAAAAACATATTTAACTTTAAAATAGGTGAAATCAAACTATGTATAGTTAGACTCGTTTGATTTAACAATCTGTTCGATCTATTTAGTACGACTCTCATGAAGTTGTTAGAAAGGCTGTTAAGAATGTGCGGTTTGTCCTAACTCAACCAGATTAGGTGAGGATTGTCCCCTATATAAGCACATGTTTAGATTATATATTGTTCAGCATGAGACTCTCAGTACAATCTCTCACGCTCAGGAATTTATATTTGGAGCGTGAAAATAAATGATGGGTGACCCGACAACGAAAACCTGATAGCATAATAATTTGTAGGTGGAGACGGCAATAGATAAGCAGCAGAAGCAAATAATTTTTGCAGGGCATTCATCTGGTGGACCGGTGGCAATTCTGGCAACCCTTTGGGCCTTAGAAAAGTACCAAACACCAATATCTCATGGTGGTCTCCCTCCCCTATGTGTTACATTTGGTTCTCCATTAGTTGGAAATCACCTATTTTCTCATGCTACAAGGAGAGAAGGATGGTCTAACTACTTTTTCCATTTTGTGCTGAGATATGACATAGTGCCAAGGATCCTCCTTGCTCCTTTATCATCTTTTGACCAAAGATTTGAAACAGTTTCACAGCTCATAGATCCCAAAAACAAATCATTCATGAGCGAATCAAGTCTCGGAAGAATCTCTTCGACTTCAGATTTCTACTTTGAGGTGATATCAAATGCTGCAACCGTCACAAGGCATGCTGCTTGCAAGCTAATGGGAACAACAGAAGCAACACTTGAAACTATTGCAAATTTTGTTCCTTTGAGTCCTTATAGACCCTTCGGAACTTACATTTTCTGCACTGCAAGTGGAAATGAAGCAAAACAAATTGTCATCAAAAACCCTGATGCAATTCTGCAGGTCCTGTTTTTTTCTGCCCAGTTAAGCTCAGAAGCAGAAACTGATGAAGTTTCTCTTAAAAGCCTGCGACAACATTTAACGTATGGCGCGGAATTGCCAAAAACCTTAGGAATTCAGACTGCTGTGCACTTGGACCAACTAGAGAAGATTCCTTTGTCCGAGAATACTACTACAGGAGGCGGAAACATTGCAACCATTAACACTGCCTTAAATGATCTTGGCCTGGTATGTAACATTTTCATCCTTCCCTATTATACCATGTTGTCGTGTGCATAACATTTGTATGATAATGAATTTTTTGTAAATAATTTTAGAGCACTAGAGCGAGGTTATGCATTCAAGCAGCAGCAGCATTAGAGGAGCGGAAAAGAAACAATGAAAAAACCATAGAAGAGAAGAAAGGATTTATGGACGAAAAGATGAAGGAAGTGGAAAAGTACAGAGAAATGTGGGGGCATCAGAAAAAGGGTTACTACGACGGATTCAAGGATCAAAAAGATCCAGAAGATTTCAAAGCAAATGTGAAGAGACTAGATCTAGCAGGAGTATGGGACGAGATAATCGAAAAGCTACTAAACTATGAACTTCCAGATGAATTTGAAGGGGTAGAAGATTGGATTGAGATAGGAACGAAGTTTAGAAGACTAGTTGAGCCTTTGGACATTGCTAATTACTATCGACATTCAAGGAACCGTGATGGACGCGCTTACATGGATAAAGGAGGAAGGCCAAAGAGATACAGGTATACACAGAGATGGTTGGAGCATCGAGAGAGGGGGAAGGAAGGTGGTTATTCTGAATCTTGTTTTTGGGCTGAAGTGGAGGATCTTAGTAATGATAAGAAACCTTTTGAAGATGTTAAGGAAAGAGTTTTGAATTTGGAGAAACAGATAAAAGAGTGGAGTGAGAAAAAGGAAGTTGGTAAGGATGTGTTTTTGGAGGGTTCTACTTTTGTCCAGTGGTGGAAAACATTGCCATTGCATCATAGGCAACAATCATGCATTAGAAGTCTTGTTGGAGGGTGACACTGTCACTTGACCAAAAAAAGGGTGACACTGTCATTGAAATTATTTCTTTAGCAGAGTCATATGTATTTATTTGTCTGGTTTGATTTTGTAATAAGCATGATTTTCTTGTGGGTTTTGATTCAAGGACATATGGTTTGGTTAGTGCTTGGAGGCCATGTGGAGGGTAACCACCGTTTAAGTATGACAAATTAAATAGAAGTCGTATTTTATTATAGTTTAATTGCGACAAATATGTTATGAGACCATTTTTAGTTATTGGTTTAAAAGTTTCAAATTTCGAATCCTGTATAATAGTCTGTCTTGTGTGTATTTGAAAATGACAATCTGATTGTAATAGATGCTAATATACAATTATAATTCTTTTGATTTTGTAATAGTAATGCTCAATCTTTGTAATAGTAATGCTCAATCAGTCACTGGAGTGCTAGCTTGTTGTCTTATGCAGGTAGAGCTCAATTGATAAAAAGGTGTCATCTTTGCCTTAACCAATTACTGGCTCCAATGTCTTCCTCTTCCTAAAGTTGTCATTAGGAAAATTGAAGGCATGTGCAGGTCCTTTCTTTGCGCAGGTGCTAATAAACTGTCTAAGAAATATCCCATGACTTGGAAGAAGGTATGTTCTCCTAAGATAAAGGGCAGACTCAACATAGTTAACCTGGAAATCTGGAACAAAGCTTGCTTGATAAAGCTCTTGTGGAACCTGCATGGTAAGTCTGATACCATGTGGATCAAATGGATCCACTACTACTATGTGAAGGATGCATGGAAACTTGCACATCAGAAATGTAGAGGTAGGAAATCAAGTTGATACATTATCACATCACATGAGTTTGGCAAGAAAATCATCAGAAATGTTTGTTGTGGAGAATTTACATCAGTTTCCAGATTCTTCTGTTCCTAGTAGTAGTATTAGAGCAAAGCGAGGCTGCGCAGCGCATCCTAGAAGCGTAGCGGAAAGGGTAAGAAGAACTCGAATAAGCGAACGAATGAAAAAGTTGCAAGAGCTTATTCCAAATACTGACAAGGTTAGATTCATCATCACTATTGGAAATTCAACACTTTTGATGTAGTGAATAAGTGCCTTTTTGTCTTTTGGATTAATCACAATACTTGGAGAAAAAACTCTTCCTGTTTCAAGAAGTATTGGATCTTCTGAGATGAAAACAGCACCAATTACACCTGCTGAAGTAATAGCACTGATTTGGTTAATCACTGAAACTGATTCAAAAGCTTCACAAACAATGATTCCTCTTGTTGCAGCTTCACTCAAGAGACTAATTGAATTGCATGAAGATAGAGTTTTGTTGTAAACAAGTAGAAGATTCTCAACTATAGCATTAGTAGCAGGAAACAAAGTCCAACAAACAATAGTTTCGCCGCTTCCTGAGCTTCAAACTACCGAAAGTTCGATCGATTGTGCCTGCGGCGACCGTTATAAAGGGATTCCATTGTGTAGAGTACCAAGATGTGGACCTTCATTTCCAGCAGAAGATGAAACAACAACATTTTTCTCCATGGCTGCAAATGAAGCTATTGCTACTAGATCTTCATAAAGTGAAACATTATCAAAACCTAAAGAGATTGAAATAACATCAACATTATCAACAATTGCTTGGTCCATTCCCGCGAGAACATCGGAGGCTTGTTGTCCCTCGTCCCAAAGGACTTTATACATTGCAATTCTAGCTTTTGGTGCAATGCCTCTAGCTACACCTTTTGCATAACCAAAGAATGATGCATCGTCGACATAGTTTCCGGCGACAGTCGATGATATATGACTACCATGTCCTTGTGTGTCTCTAGCTGAGTTCATACTGATTTTGACGTTTGGTTTTGATGCAATTACACCTTTGTTGAAATATCTTGCTCCAATCAGCTTCAAATTGCACATTGAAGTGTTGAAATCTTGTCCTATTTCGCATTTTCCTTTCCATTTTGTTGGGATGTTTTTCGACATGCCGCTGTCTTGAAAGCTTTCACTTTCTGGTCAAATACCAGTGTCAATAAGACCAACAATAACATTTTTCCTAAATTTGATGCATTCCGTAGCCCTTTTGAAGGGTCTAATGAAAGAAACTCAAAGGTGTGTGTTGTGTCTATTGTTGCTGTTATGTCAGGGTAAGCTGTGACAAAACCATGAGATTTTTTGAGGTTGTTTAACTCTTGTTTTGATAGTACTGCACTGAAACCATGCATGGCATGATTGTTAGTGTATACTAAATTTTTTGATGATTTTGTGGAATCAAGAGTGGATTCATACCAATTATGATGAAAAATACACCATTTGTTTTAGATTAATTTTTTTATAATTTAATTGATATTCACTAAAAAAAATTTAAACTGTCAATTAATTATCACGTTAATTTATATAAAATATTTAATTTTTATTTTAACTATTTAAAAAAATATCAACAAACGATGCGACCAATTATTAGCATATCAATTAATTTTTCTTTTAGAGCATCTTTAGTGGGAGTAAACTAAATGGGTAAACTAAGATACTTTTTGTGAGTCCAAAGTGATTTGTAAGATTTTAAAAATTTATAGTTCATTTGAGTAGTTTTTACTTTAATGGTGGTTGTCTATAAGAAATCAAAACTTGACCCCACATGATATTAAATAGTTAATAAAAATCTATTATTTATGTTAAATAATGAGTTAGAGTACGTTGCTTGTGTAGAGCACGTAAACTAATTTCAGAGTATCCCATATGCCATGTCAGCACTACTATAATGCAAATTCCTTATTACTAACGTAAACTATAAAGAATTTTGGTTTAACAACACTGCACTAAAGTTGCTCTTAGTAAAATGAAACACAACACAAGTGTCTCGGAGTTGCTGCTGGGTAAACTAGCGAAGAGTAGATGAGTGGATTTCTCTGAAGAATTTCAATGAGAGTTTTTAAAACGGGTTTGTCAATATTGTCATGTTGTTCAACAGTTTTTAATTATGCAACAGTTCTTTAACGGTTATTATATTAAAATATTAATTTTATAATATAAAAATTATAATTTAATATAAAATTTTATTTATTATTTTAGTTATGAAATGAAACTATAATTACAATATTAAAATATTAATTTTATAATATAAAAACTATATTTTAATTGTAAGTTTAAATTATAAATTTAATTTAAATTTTATTTATTTTAAATTATAATTATAATTTCAATTTTTTTAGTTTTATATTTAATTTAATTTAAAATACTAAAATTAATTAAGGAGAGATTTGAAATATTTTTTTAAATTTAATCTAATTTTTTTAAAATTTATATATTAAAATAAAATATTTTTCTTTAAAACAACATTATATATACGTTGAATTATACAGTAGATTGGAATAATTTTATATAAAAAATTAAACTATTATTTTAAATAATATAAAATATTAATATATAAAGTAAAGTTGTGAAACCTAATATTAGTTTTTCAGAGTTGCGGAACCTAAACCCAAAAACTGTAACAAAGTTGTGGAACCCAAACCCAAAAACTGTAACAAAGTTGTGGAACTATGAGTTCATGGTTGTAGATGTTCTCAGAACATTCATGGAACACCGATCTCTAACCAAACGTGTCAATCTATCAACGAACCACGTCGTCTTCATCTCTTTCGTAAACTCCTAAACTCACAACATCAATATCTTCTTCTTCTCGTCGTCCTCATCTTGTCAAAATCCCAAAAAAACGGAACAACCATGAAACGTGTATTAGCATTTTCCAAACACTGTAACAGAGCAATTCACCACCGTTGCGACACCCAACTCCAAACCGCAGGTCCCGTTGCATCTCTCATAAAATCCCGTTCCGTCATTCGATTCCGAGGACCGGACACTATCAAATTCCTTCAGGGACTATTGACCAACGATATACGCAAATTCGGCGAACCTATTGGCGATAAAACCGCGAATTTACCTACACCCAATGTTCCCACCACCTCGGTTCCTCCTATCTATGCTGCCTTGTTAACCCCTCAAGGTAGATTCCTCTATGACCTCTTTCTCTATAAACCACCAAGCTCTGATACTAAGCTTAACAGGACCGGGACTGGACCTGCCTCAGAACCTGATGAACCCTTTGAATTATTCGCTGATGTCGATGCTTCTCTTTTGGATGAATTGTTGGCAACTTTCACTAAGTGAGTCTCACTGATTCTTTTCATTGAGCTTGTCTTATTTGTTCTGTTTTCTATCATAATCATTTCATGGTTTAATTGGCATTTGCGTTTATTTTTGGCAATTACCAATTAGGTAGTGAATAGTTTGAGATTTTTGGTTGTGGAGACCCTAAAGTTATTCCTGCTGCAGATACCGGTTGAGGTCGAAGGTTGAGATTGATAATGTTGCTGGCGAATTCTCGTGTTGGCAGCGTTATGGTTCTGGGCCTCCTGAGAATTCCTCGGATGTAGAAGAACCAGAAGCAGCCTCGGTTGGGTGGGGTGCTGGTGAGGACGAGGCTGCAATGTCCTCTTCTCGAGGGGGCAATCTTGGCTGGCAATGGTTTAAGGATCCCAGGTTGACCTGTCTTGGTTTCAGAGGGATCTTCCCATCAAATATCATTCGTTAGTGTCCACTCCTTTGCTGGCTAATTAGATTTTTTTTTAAATGCTTTTTTGGCTGTAATCTTGTATAGATAATCGGTCTTAATGATTCCTTTGTGTTTCAGCACCTCTAATTGAAGCTGACAAAGAGACTGGTGAAGAGAATTATCTTATGTGGAGATTAGAGAAGGGAGTAGCAGAAGGATCAACTGAGATTCCAAAAGGTTCATAGTTCCCTTTCTTCTAATAATTTCCTTCGGAAGAAGAGTGATTACTTTTGAGTCTGACAATCTTGACTGATTGATCATGTTCAGGTGAAGCAATGCCGCTCGAGTATAATCTTGTAGGTCTTAATGCAATCAGCTTTGACAAAGGTTGCTATGTGGGACAAGAACTGATAGCTCGTACACACCACAGAGGGGTGATTAGGAAGCGTATAGTTCCTCTAAGGTTTCAAGATAATGATGGAAATGGTAATAAGTAGTTTTCTTTAGTACTAAGATACCTATTGCATGAGTATATAGTGATGAATGAACTCTGAGCCTTTCCATTTCTTCTTTTGCAGAAGTTGTAAACAAAGTCATTCCTGGCTCAGAAGTAATAAACACAGCATCTGGAAAGAAAGCTGGTTTAGTGACTACTGCCTTGGGATGTCGTGGGTTGGGACTCTTGCGGTTAGAGGAAGCTTTAAAGGGATCTGCTGCCTTGTCCATTAAAGGACAAGAGGGTGTGAAGGTTGTCGCAAGTAAACCAGATTGGTGGCCTTCTGATTGGGCTCAAGATCTTCACCAGCACACTGCTTTTGCATAGGGTGCTCAATGTCATTCAAAAGACGAGTATCTGAAAATTTTACTGGATAGGGAAATTGTGACGGAAGCAGTTGTGAATTTTCTTGCCGAGTGCCTCCTTAGAAATCTTTATGTAGGACAGTTTTGTTTTATTACTTTGTACAAAACCCTCGGCATTGCTGTCTCGGTTCATTTTTCTTTATGAGTAGTATAAGCTGGAAAAATATGATTAGTGTAAACCTAATGCCACGGAGAGACCATCTGTACCAAATGATGAAGTTATAAATAATTTAAGATGAAGTTATGAATAATTTAAGGCTAGAAAGTCGATCCGAATTGGGGATCTACTTACTTTGTGAAGCATGCTTGAATAGCCCAGATCTTAGGAATTGTTCCATACCCTGAAAATGTAACCTCTATCTGGAGAGGTTGCTTGTTCAGCCCCGCTCCTCTTGGTGGAGATTGAAAAGGGTTTTTTATTTTATGATGTATTGGCTATAAGAACAGTTATATACCTGTTAGCTTTTATAATTGTTCAGAACATAGTATTATCCTTTTATTAGAAAATATAAAGAAACAATTGTTTGGTATGGGTTTTCATGTAGAACACTCTTTCGTTTTGCTCAAATTAGATTAGCCAACAAATTGCTTAAATCTGCATAACTTCTAGCTCATGTTTCTTTGTTAACTTCAATCTAAGTTTCATCGTATGTTTTCGATGGTAGTGGAATGGTAGTGGAATGTTTAATTTGAACATTTACTCTCACATGTTTAATTTGAACATTTACTCTCACTTTATTAGTGAAACTGTGTATTCTCTATTGAATGCGTGTCGTACACTGAAACATAGTTGTTTTTTCATGGAAATTGACTCACTGAGATGGGTCAGTGGTCATATCCCAGTTAAAAGGAAGCTAGGTTGCTGCAAAAGAAAAACAAGAAGTAGAAGTAAGCTTTCATTGTTCTTATATGGAACAGGCTATGATGATAACCCAATGTACATGCTCTTCACTCAATGTGTTACTCTTCACTCAATGTACATGCTCTTGATGATAACCCAACATATAAGAAAAACAATGAAAACGGTAGTTTGTTTTAGAAAGATTCTAAGCGAAGAAGAATTAGGTTTAAAAGTCTCTGATATGGTCACGGAGATCTTGCATTTAGTAGCATGATGATAATCTTCTGATCCGACTGAAGCTCCGAAAACAAATAGCAGCTTGCATTTAGTAGCATGATGATAATCTTCTGATCCGACTGAAGCTCCGAAAACAAATAGCAGCTGAGTTTCAGCTTCTTCAATAGCAGCTTCAATTCGAAGAAGAAAAAACCCGACAGCAATACCAACAAGAGTGAGTCCATTCATAGTAGCTGCAATCTAAAAAGATCTCACTCGTAGCATTATATATTAAGGTAAGAGCACTTCCACCTCTACCATTTCTTTTTCCTCTTCTTGTTCACCATGCAGATTCTCACGAAGATACTGATGACACTGTTGATGATGACGTTGTTCTGATGTTCTTGTTATTGTATCATATGGAAACAATCACGAAGGTTATGGTGGCGTGATGGTGCAAGGTTGTTGTTATTGATGTTAATGCTGAGTTATGTTGGATTATGGTGTGTTAAAATGGAGCAGGTTGGTGTCGATATTGTAGTTTAAGGTTGTGCTGCATGTTTTGTTGAAAATGGTGTAGGGCACTCCATTTTGTTTAAAGGTGTTCAAGGGTGGTTTTCATGGGAGGATGTAGATTTAAACATCATGGAGAGTTGTAGTGTATGGTTGGTATCTTTCGTTTGTTATTCCGACTTTTGGTTGGTGTCCGAGATGTGTCATCCCAACTCTTGGTTGGTATATTGTAGTTGTTATTCCAACTCTTGGTTGGTATGCTGGGTTCGTTATCCCAACTCTTGGTTGGTGTTCCCTGATTTTGATTTCTCAACTTTTGGTTGGTAGTCTTTGTCATTCCAACTTTTGGTTGGTAATCCATTGGTGGTTGGATGTGATCCCAACCCTTGGTTGGTAGTCCTTGTTTTCTCCAGCGGAGTCGTTATTCCAACTTTTGGTTGGTAGTCCCCTGTTTAATCTGAAGTTTTGTGATTTTCATTCCAACTTTTGGTTGGTACCCTTTGGTATTCATTCCGACTTTTAGTTGGTAGTGTTTCTTTCCTGGATTGTTGTTCCAACTCTTGGTTGGCGGTCCTTTGGTGGTGGTATTGTTTATCCTAACTTTTGGTTGGTAGTCCTCCTCTATTACTCGGCAGAGTCGGTATCCCAACTCTTGGTTGATAATTGGTGGCTGGTCAGATTTGTTTGTTCCAACTTTTGGTTGGTGAGGTTGTTGATTTTATTCCAACTTTTGATTGATAATCTTCGGTTTGTGGGTGCGATCCCAACTTTTGGTTGGTAATCCTTTGGTGATATCTATAATACCCCAAATTTTGCCCTAAGATTTGTCGTTTTGTCTCGCATTTCATTGCATTTAATCAGTTGCTAACAAGTTTGTGTAGTCGTTTGATTGTTGCAGTTAAATATCGTGCGACGCGCTGTTTGGTTCATGAAAGGTAAAATGGTCATTTGGTCGCAGCCGACCGTCAAATTATGAATTTTGGGCTGTACTCAGAGAATTTGGGCCGTTTGTTTTGGTTGATGTGAATTAGGGCCGAGGTATCTGGAATGGTTTGATTGTGAGAGATTTTGAGCTGTTGAACTAAATCGATTCGAGTTTGGATTGTTTGTTAGCAAGAGGATATGATCATTTGAGTTAATCAGGCAGTGGGATCTATCCGGATAAAGTTGCACATTTTGAATTGCAGGGAGATTTAATTGAAATTTATGTCGGAGACAGGATTAGTCGGATAAAGCGGAGGAATTAGGAAGTAATAAAAATATGCAATTTCATTTCGTTTTCATTTTAAAACGATCATATTGCATTTCATTTTAAAACATTTCTATTTCTATTTCATTTTTATTTTCATGATCTTAGTTCATTTTGTATTTCATTTTGTGACTTTTATTTTCATTTATTTCATGATTTTATTGCATTTTATCTCAACTTCTTTTTTAAAAAAAATAAATAATAATAAAGTAACTTTAGTTCAGTTTTTATTGTTCTCATTTTCGCTTTTATTTAATTTTTAGTATTTAATTTTATTTTCAGTTTATATGATTTTTCATGTCGTAGTTTTAAATAAAAGAATACTTTTCATTACATATCAAAAACAATTAACAAATAAATTAAAAAATTATTATAAATAGTAATTATTCTTTACAAAAAATAAGTAAATAAATTTTTATTAATAAAAATTAAAATTACAAAAAAAGTTAATAAAAAATAAAATTACAAAAAATATATCAATTTACAATTTACATAAAGAAAATAATAATAAAAGAAACTTCCTAAAATTCTTCGGTTTCTTCGAATTGTCCCGACTTTTCCGATTAATGCTTCGAACCTGCAAAATAAGAAAATAATTTTATCTGTTAGTTTTTGCGTCCCGACACCCTCAAAACGATGTCATCATCGGGCGTGTCAGGAGGGCAACGGATTATTCCGAAGCCGGCTCCCGACTTTATTCTCGGCCAATGGCCTATCCAGCATATTGTTGTTCTTATCGTTTAAGGCAACCGAAAGAAGAAGAGAAAAATTGTTTTGAAATAAGCTGTTTGGCCGAAAGAGCTTATTTGAAAAGCCGTTTTGAGAAAAGTGATTATCCTCCGGAGGACGGTTTGCCCCAAATGGGACCTTAACTCCAATCTTCCTGAAGAAAAAAAACAATTTCAACAACAATCCAACAAGATCAAACAAGCAAAACAGTTCGGAATCAAGTTCAATAGAAAAACCAGTTTCGAAAACCCGTTCTGAGAAACCAGTCCAATCTCCAACGGATTTATCAGCAAAACAAACAACAAATTCAGTACCCATAATCAAATCAAAACGTGGTCAAAACCTCAACAAGATCGTCCGCAAAAACCTGAAGAAACCCAACAACAAAGTCGCAAGCGAATCCGGCCCATATGGAGGGATCCTCAACATATAAAATCATCATAAAAAGGAGAAGAAACCCTAACAAGTACCAACGGCGCAAGGGTTCAGAAAACTCGGAGGTTCTCATCATCACCCAGGATCGTAAAGAAGAAGAATAGTTAATGGAGCCGAACCCGGAGCCAAACGCGAACCGTCAAATCACCGGTCAAGCACGAACTCTGACAGATCTTGACACAAACAATTGACGAGGCTCAGGTCGTAGCATCATCGCCTCTAAAAAGTGCATCAACATCATCAAGATTCGTTACCGGGAACCCCACCGGCTTCAAACTGAAGGGTAAGGTTCTTGCTTGGTTTTTTTTTCTGTTGCTTTTATGTTTGTTTCAGGAATAGAAGCGAATCTGATTACATGCAAGCGAAAAAGGAAATAGGAAGAAGCTTCAAGCGGCGTTAATGGCGGCAATAGCGCTTCGAGGGAGATGAGGAAGAGGAAAAGTTAGCAAAAGGAAACTTAAGTGAAACATGCAAATAATCCACCCTCTCCCTGTAGTTAATATACATTTTAATTTCCATCTAACGTTCATTTTTATTTTTTTTAGATCTTGGTATCTTTTTAATAATATTAATGACTCACATCCCTGTTAATATTAATTAATTAGTTCCTAAGATTAAAAATAGGGGTCATGCCTCCGGTTGATTTAAGTTATTTTGGCAAATTTAATTTAAAAAAGGTTTAAAACACTAAAAAAGAAGTTTTTGAAAATATTATATTTTCTACTTTTAAAACATTTTGTACATTTGAATTAAACCCTTTGTTATTACAGTAAAAGTAAAATAAATTTTCTTAATAAAATGAAAATAATTTTTTTGATAAATATCATTTAAGATAAAAATTTAAATAATGATAAGTTGTTGTTTCGGTTTCATTGTCGTCTAACCCTCGTTACTTTGTTCGTTTCAGCTTACTATTTTTTTTCATTTGTTCGTTTTTGTCCCATGGATGTAATTTACGCGAGGCCATGGTCGCGGGTTA